GTCTGCTTTTGCTCCAAGATGACTCGTCGTATCATAAGCCACTCCTGAGGCAAAATATATATATATATTGAAAATGATTAAAACTTTAATTTAATTAAAGCTAGTATTCAATTTCTTTCATATATTTTGTCTGGACTCTTTAACAGCAGCCATAATGCTTTACGGCTTTGAAATTAATGTTAACAACGCTATGCACGTGTCAGAAAAGTCCTCCTTTGGTTGCGTTCCTATTTGAGCAAAATCCACACCGAGCTGTCACTGTCCATCCACGCTAATGTGGCGTGGATGTGTATTCCTCCGCGGGCTCCCACAAACACGCACGCCAGGGTGACAATCGCAAAATAACAAGCTTTGCACCTCTTTCACACGAACAGGCGCACATGACTGGGATCTGTCACCGACTCCACGGCGCTAATAATGTGTTGTTTACTCACTAACTGTCCAATAACACGGACGAGATGGAATTAACAACAGACAAAGTCGAATAATAATAATAAAAAAAAAAAACAAAACAAGTAAATAAATGTGCCAAAAAACGTTTTTGGATATTTACTTAAATTGAAGCTAATTACTACGAATAATAATTACACGACAGCTACATAAGGGATTTATTATCAATCTATTTAAACAACACTCGATTTAGATATATTTTCAATATATATATTTTTTTCTTTGTAATTTCAGTCGACGGTAAAGTTTGTCAACCGTGCGTAAAATGACCAAAGCTCAGGATATTTATACTTTAACGGGACAGGGCGCGGGTGGTTTGTGTTTACACTCCCGTGAGGCTTCACTCACCCTGACCCGGGCCTCCGTCAGGTTGGTCCACACAGCTATCTCCTCCCTTGTGCTCATATCCGGGTAACGATTTCTCTGGAAAGTAGCTTCCAGTTCCTGCAGCTGCTGGCTGGTGAAGTGAGTTCTCTGCCGCCGCTGCCGCTTCTTTTTGGAGGGGTCATCCGAGGAGTCATCATTTTTGTTTTGGATCTTTTCTTTTTCTGTAAAAAGAAGCAAAAAGAGAGAAAATAGTGTGAGTCTAAAACCGAATTAATATTCAAATATTTAAATTAATTTTTTTCTGCATGTGTTTTGTCTAAATGTTGACACCGGACAAATGAGTAAATATCCCCAAAGCTCTACATTTACATAAGACTAATCCTTTGTCTTTGCCATCACTAAATGACAGCTATGATCTTCTACACTGACAAATGTGAGCCGTCGTTTGCTTTGTGCCAAGATAACATCTTTGGCACCAAAGTTCCACTGAGAACATCTGCACCCCAGCCCGGTTCTTACCGACAGACTCCGGACTGGACGTGTCGGACACGGTGTGAACGTCTAACCGGTGTTTAGAATCCGAAGACCGCTGCAGCGGCTGTAAACTGGAGGCCATCGCCAGAGCCGTGTAATGCGTGGAGGCGTGGAGTTTATTCCCTGGCAGGTGGTGATGGTCTGAGTTTAATGGATCCCTCATAGAGTTCATGGGTAAAAGTAAAAGGCAAGACCGCACCGCTGGCTTGTTATCGCAGATCAGCCCAGTTTCCCTTCAGTACAGGAAGGTAAAGTGGAAAGTTCCAGTGCGGAATGTCTCCAAAAGACGCACAGCAGCGCAGTTCCTCTTGCGTAAAAAGCCTCTGTCTAATAGAAAGCCGTCAAAACAGGCCATGAGTTGGTGCCGCGAGCATCGGTGTTGAAGCGGCAGCTAACTGGGCTGACTATCAGAGTGACAAGGACAGGTAGGTGATATTAGATCCAGAGGCAGACACACACCACAGCGCTCTCTCTGCATTTCAGCTGTTGCCTGCATGCGCACTGCTCATCCAACTGCGCCTCTATCCACACTCACACGTCACCATCTTGCGCCCGCCCTCATTTCCAGCCCCTCTCCCTCCCCTGACAGGCATATATCCATGTGGATATGACAGTTTGCTCAACCAACCGGAGAACGAGCAGAAACCAGACACGTCTGGGCGCTTATTTTTCCTCTTCCAAATAAAAGCATGTAAAGAGAGAGGGGACGCACCGCGGCGCACTGATGCGCAGCGGCGCAGCAGCAGCAGGAGCAGGAGCAGTAGCAGGAGGAGCAGCAGCAGGAGCCCCAGTCTAAATACAAAAGATAATAACAGTTTGGCCTCGTTTTATGAGACAGACGAGGTCCGGCGGCCCGGGCGATATGACACAGCTCCTCTTATAACCACCACAGTTTACTCAGCGCCTCCGTGTGGGTAAAACGAGCCACTGAGAGTTTCATATCGAAATAAATAAATACAAGATGCGGACTGAATACCAAACACAACAACGCACCGCACAGCGCCAGGCTCCACGCAGGGACGGGATTAAAGGCAGGAAATTCAAGGAGCGGGAACCGCAGTGTCCGAACTGTGCGCACTTGTCAACTGAGGCTAACTACCAGACATGTACACTATGTTGAAAAGAGCACACATGTGCAGCTGCTGCGGCTCATATCAGCGCACATGCTGACTGATATGAATGTCGTGCAATTAGTGTACAGTCAGACACCAGCAGGCCGCACCGAATTTAGCCAAATGACTCCAGTACAGTCCATAGTACGGGTCTAATCCTCATATTGAGCCAAGGGCACTTACAGGCATGAATAATGTGCCCAACACGTGACCCAGCGTCCGCACTTACAGATACACTGATAAATCATTTGTCAGTCATAGGAGCTGTCACACGAGGCCATCCTCTTGACCTCAACACAGTCAACTTTCAGAATCTGCAGTGAATCAAGCCTGTAGTGTCACGGTGTTTGAACCACACAGACGGTGATGACGTCATCCGACTGGATCCGTGTGTTCTCCCTCACTGTTTGGACCCGCCCTCACTCACTCCTTGTTTCAGCCTCCGTTTAATCCGGTAAGACTCCGATTTGCCAGAGACTTTCTGAGAGAGGACTTCTGAATGAGTCTGAGCTGATGGGACACTATGCAAATCAAGGGTTCCTAATGATTTGGACACTTGGACCAGAGAAAACACGTGTAATTAAGGGGTTTCCGTTTTATCCCAAAGTGTGGAAATCGAGGATGGAGGATTGTTATTCAGTTTGACCGAACTCCGTTCACACAGTTCGATGTTGGAGTTTGAGTCCGTGTTGTCAGAGCTGAGAGTCACGAGTTCTGGACAGCAGTACACGACAGTGAATCATCACCAAATCCACTTTCCACAGTATCCAACTGTATGTGGTACTAAATATAGCCGAATACAACATTTATTAATTATATTTAAAAAAAAGAATCACGAGCTGTTTTTTTTGCAAACACTATAATGCACTGAGATATTTGTTTATGTTTTTCATTTAGAAAAAAAGTCGACTAACCGTTTTGTATCTCACTTTTCAGGCTGTACATTATACAGTAATTAATAAAAGTAATTATAATGTATTATATTATAACACATGCTTGAGTACCATGTCATTTTAATGCAATTTCCGCAAATTCCGACGTGTATAAACTGAAAGCTATTTAAATAATTAGAGAAGTAATCGTCTGATTAATCGACTGTCAAAAGTTTTTACTCGATAGTACACTGATCATTATTGTATTTCTTTTTTGTTTTTTTGGAAAATGTCAACATTTGCGTTTTACAATGATGACGAAATACTAAACAAGTAAACCGTGCTGACATACTTGTTACTTACAGCCACAACCCCAATCTGTAATCTAATAATTTAAAGGCTAAACGATTAAAATAAACCGAGGATCTTCTTATTTAAGATTTTAAAAAGAAATGTAGTTTACATTACTAAAAATAAATTCTACTTTGTTTTAGAAACAAATTATCATCCGATAAATAATGTTGAAACACCGTAGTCGCAACACGCTCAAAATTAAACAGTGATTATTCTTTATACCAGTCCAGTGTTACACAACAGTGTCATGTAAAGGTTGGTGAATGTGATTAATAAAATGTCCGGACATTTATAATTTTTCAAGTGCAAAGTTGATTAGATTTGGGAGTGTTTTTTCAGTCAAAACGGGAATTAAGTTAACAAAAAAAAAAAAACCGTGTATTACCGGCTATGTTTAATCCTGTGACCCAGTTGCAAACCACTCCCCATCATTTGAGAAACCTTGTTTTTATTTCTCGCCCATGTTTGAACGTGTCCCCCCCCCCTCACTGTAATACTAAAGTTGAAGTGGATTATGGTTTTCCTCTTCATTTCTACCTTGTGAATGCTTTATCTCTCTTGTGCGGATTACTGCCTCTGTCATGGAGGGCCATTAATTAACAATTCAGTCAATACAGAGCAGGCTTTTTACATAGGATTAAGGAGACACATCACATTCCTCCATTAGTATATTCCTGCTCACGGCTGGGCTTTCATTATACATTTAGTTTTCCCTGGAGTCAATCCAACAAGAGTTGCATACATTACTGCGGCACTCTGACCCCCATTCATCATTTAGTTTATTATATTTTAATTTACTTATTATTCATAATCAATGAACATTTACAATGTGCAGCTATGCCGTGGCCAGCCCTCGTTCTATCGCACCTTCGCAGACTTAATGAGAGAAAATTGGGAGTTATTGGAGATTCATTTAGGACACTAACAAGATTCCATGTCATTTCCTCCTCCTCCTCCTTTGTGTGGGACAATAATTATTAAATCCTAGATTTGATCCCGCGGGATTATAATTTTATTTATTTATCATTTTTTAGTGAACTTTTACGTGGGGCGTTGTTTTAGAAAACATGGATTTAAATTGTTAATAGACTCCGTTACCGATGCAGAATCAAAAATACGACAAAAAAAATCGTTGTATTTAATTTCAAACTACATTCTAGTTTCGGAGTCGTAAACTAACTTGTATTGTTTTTGTTTTTTTTTATACATAAACGAAAACTCAAATGTGTAGCACGATTTTGCAGTTCCGGATGACGCCACCAGAGGTCTCTCAAAGCCTAAAGACAACCTGAAGCTCATGCGAAGAAGATCACTTACTCACCTGCCTTAACTGAAATGTCCGTCTGACGTTAAAATAATTTTGTTTACAAAACACAGATTCGTTGCAAATATTCACCAAAGGTTCGACAAATGATGACAAAGTTGTAGAATATTACAGAAATATAAGTAATTATTTAATCTGCTGCAAAATATATTACAATTAAATAATGTATTTTATGTTGTATTTGTTTATATGTACTCGGTATTTGTTTTATTAAGACGTTCGAAATTGTATACTTTTATATATAATTTTGTAATTATAAAATGTGTTTTACAATTCGTACTATATAGAATAGTTCATAGACATACTGTATATTTGACAAACCTAATTTTCTCAGTAGTAGTAGTTGAATATAATGGCAATTTGATCAATACAATTTACAGGATTTTTAATGTATTTTATAAACAATAATTCTAATAAATTAGACAATTCAAGACACAATTTATACCCTTACTTCAGAAAATGAAGTGAAAAAATGTGAACATAATTCATATAATGTATGTATTAATTATATTGTTGAGTAGATCTTAGTTTATATTTTTTGTAATTTACCCTTTAATAATAACATTTTTTAATGTAGAAATAAGCTTTTTAATATCATCATAGTAATAAAAACGGTTAAGGTTATTATTATTATTCTCGCGTTAACCTACATGAGGACATTTTGACAATCATTAAATAACCCATTGTTTTGGAAACTCACCTATTTGTGCGCAGGTTGTGGCCAGTTTGCGGCAGTGAGAGTCCATTGCGACAATTTAAAGGAAACTGCTTCTGTAAAAAACAAAAACAAAGGACAAAAGATATTTAGTTTTTAGAAAGTACTTCAGTGAGGTAGTAAAAAGGCGGAAATACTACCAATAAACAAACAAACAAAAACACGTCTGCAAAAAATGTAACATAATAAATTAAGCGTAATGAAATACATCAAATACAATGTGATGTGGATTGTGGTTTTTAATGGACCCTCCTGTTTATTTATTTCTGTCTTTCGAGTTGCATTTAACCTCCACGAAAGGTAAAAAACGCAAACGTAAAATGTGGTAAATAACTGAAAAGACGTTTTTGGTCGAGGGTAAAAAGACTCAGACGTAGTGATGCTGCAGCAGAGGTGTTGGTGCAGGGAGGCTGCAGTGATTCGACGGTAAAATCACAGGATTACAGTCTGATTGAGATGTCTGTCGCTGGGATATTAGAAAATTCATTATCGCAGCCCCTCACACCGCCTCCATATGAAGTTACACAGATGGGGGTTTTATTAGTCCAGGCTCACACTGTTTGCTTATGATAATTCCAGTCCGGGGGAGGAGGAAGATTTGCATGCAGTCATGCTGTTAACCATTTTCCTCACTTCTTCTCTTCACCTGCTCTACATCACCATCTTCATCAACACCACCATCATCATCATCTGGCCTCGCTCTTTAATTTAAAGAATAGAGATGCTGATATTGGAGGTTAAGTTTTACACGGTGTGCCGACTCCGTTCCTTCCTTCCACCCTTCCTTGCTTCCTTCCTTCCTTCCTTCCTTCCTTCCTTTCCTCCCTTCCCCCCCTCCCCTCCCCCCCCCCCCCTCCTCCTCTCTCCTCCACCCAGCCTGTCTGTACATCACTGCTGCAAAATGAAATAGTGCGGGTCAGGGCTGTAAGGTGTGAGGTTATTGCACGCGACTCTATGTTATCAAATCAGTGAGATCTAATGACAGGAGGGCCGCGTCCGATACTTCTGCCGCGAAGAGCCGAGTCTCACAACACAACGGCATTTTATTTCCATATTCTAAGTTTGACTTTAAAAAAAAATAAAATAATTTTAATTCTCTTAAATGACTAAAAATCATGAATAAAAATGTACTAGCTTTCATACTTAATTCGCTTAAACATTTTAGCGGTAAATGAAGCAGACACTCTAATTAGTTGCATAATTGAAGATTGACTAATTCAATTTATATCGTATTGATTTAAGCTTAATATATTTTTTTTACTTTTATGTATTGATTTTTTTGGCAAACAGATTAAAACCCACAACTACATTATTTAATGCTGTATTCATATGATCTTTAAAATATTGATATTTAAAAATATAATGTTATAAATAATGTTTTTGTTGGACCGAATGTCTCCGATACTTTCGCGTTAAACCTGCTCAACATGTAAGGTTAATTTAGTTTAGTTCAATTATTTAAAATATAAGTATAATTAATTTAAGTTTCATATTTATTATTTAATCAGGGAAATAATAAGTTAATAAATTATGCTTAATTCTGTAAAGGTAAAATCGTGTTAAAGATTTATAAAATAAAAGTCTGTGCTTTAGTTGATATTTTGTTTTTTCAACCTGTGCAATTTTTTTCTAGCAATTTATTAACGAACTAATAAAATAATGAAACAATCGCAGTAGTTCATCTAATTGTTTTAATGTATAAAAACATCACAGTATTACCGATAAATACTTGATATATTTATATTACTATTTTCATTTTCTGTGTTGTCATTAAAATAAAAATAGAGTCTCAGTGTTTCTATTCGAATCTGCGTTCTCGCGCGTTGCATTTTTTGTTTTTCTTTTTTGCATCTCTGTGTATTTTCCGCAGCACCGACACTTTCACAATTTAGATGCGTGTCTGTGATTCACATGGCACCAGGCCGAGCCCAGACAGAAAGTTGGCCCGCGTTCAGACCCCGACTGTGGCTTCACATCTTCTGAAATCTGCGCACTTAGCGTATGAGACGATAAGGGTTAAAAAAAATAATTAAAAAACTAAATCAAAGTATAGACTTTGCAATAATTTTAAAGGCGCAAGAGCCTGAACGCACCACAGACGAGACACGGAACGCGTATTTCTTCCTTTGATTTTCTAACTCTGTTAGTTAGAAAAAATATACAACGAAAGGTAAACGCACTAGTGTTTGTACAACCTACTTTTTTATTCGATAAAATCTGCGTTTTGCTGCTCAGTTTTCTGCGGTAAGTCCCTCCAAAAAGCTGAGATATATCTTTAACATCATAAGCAGCATGGAGAGCAGCTGTCACCCTCAGACCCACCACCGTTATTTGTTTTTCCGCTTGCCCACACTCCATCACCTCTAACGATACACCATTATCACCCGCTGACCTGTGAGGCGAGACCCCGCTCTCACATCACTTCATGTTCGGCTGCAGCTTTGAAATGCACATCTGAACCAAAACCAAGAGGGGAAGAAAAACCCCAAGTGGAACAAATTCCTGCACTTAAATTAACTCACATCTTTCACTTTTTACTTGTTGGACTGG